CCCCGAAAAAAAAAGAGAAAAAATAGAGTACTTAATTGGGTACTACAGATATTTTTTTATCTTCACAGATTTACTGGACTTGTCCCAAAGATGACATGGCTTTCTTTGAGGTAGAGTTTCATGAAGTTGCTGGTATTGGTCCTGATAACATTGTCCAGACACAACTACCTGGCCAGCTAGGCAAAATACAGCAGCAGAACCTTGAAATACATAATCTAGATCAAAACACAGAATATCTTTTTGAAGTCTGTGCTGTCAATGCAAGTGGTCAAGGAGAATGGCGTGACATCTGTAAGGTATTGTAGATTCTTCCTAGGACTGCCTTAACTTTGTCTCCATAAATTTTTTTACCCCATGTATTTAGGAGGAAGACTGCTCAAGTGAATAGCAATATTTCAATTATCTAGGTAAGTGATACTAATAGTTGCACTGGATTTTTCCGTACATTGTTCTTTCTGGCTCAGTTTACCACTGCTTGACCCATGTAGAATGTTTCTCATTTTTTCTAGCGGGGATGCCACGTCACGATTACATCAAACAAATTATCATAATTCATATTGCTCCAGGTCTGAGACTGCTTTTGCACTAACCTCTCTGAACAGAGTATGGAAGGGTCAGATCCCAAAGCTTTCATGCTAGAACAAGGCAGCAATCATTAAATGAGAGGAAACAAACAGACAATTAAGAATATTCTTTGACACCATTGGAATGAGTCTCCTGTACTGTGCTTTAGAAGAGGAGGAAAAGTGTTGCAACGATAAAAGTTAAAAGGACTGGGAAGGTATTCAAAAGGTGTCAAACGTTAAGACATGCAGTGAATTCACTTTAACGCCCTTTAGGCTACTCAAATCTCTTCCTGCAGTCACCTTCAGTTTTTCATGCCTTACTGAAAAAACACATACTTAATTCTTGCTTTCTCCTTGATAAATTTTCAATAAAGGGAGTATCGAGGAGCTGCAGTGCAACAGCTTCCATGAGAATTGTAGGTGATATTCTCTGATTCCAACTGCATTTCACAGTCTTGTCCTATAGCAATTGCACAAAGCGCTGTCCCTTTCCAGGCCTCTTGCCCCTTGTCACATTTAGAGAGTAAAATGTCTTAACTTCCAAACAGCATTCAGATGTCCCACCCACTTTGTGTGTTTTAATGGCCAACGACACCTTCCTGGACTGCTTCCCTTTCTACACTTACAATACTGAGCACAGTAGTTTCTTTTTTTATGTAACACATTGGAATGCTATACTGATTTTTCTTCTGAAAATTGTCCTTTCTGCACACAACACAATCATATTAATATTCCAGAGAAACATAAATTCACTTAACATCTGCTGTAATTTACAGAAGCAAAGAGTTTCATAGCAAATAAAAATGAGATGGCATATATGACAGATTTTATAAATCATCTTTTAAAAAATAACTACCTATGTTCCTTTTGCATAATATCAGACTATTCTACTTTACTAGTTACGCTACACAGAAAGCTTGAAAGAAAATTTTTTTTACAAGAAAATGTGGAATTGGATGTTAAGTAGAGGATTTAGTCAGAGCAATATCATTCTTCATGTGTAACAATTACTGAGTCTGTGAGGGAATGTAACTCAGATGGCTGTGACAGGTCACAGGAGCCCAGGCACGAAAGTATAAAGAGGAGGAAGGTGACAAAGTTTTGTTAGATAGCAGCTACTGTTTCATTCCTTGAACTAAACTGATGCCAGGCCACTGATAACCCAAAATATCAAGTCCCACAGAAGAAGTTAGTCAACATTACAAGTAGATTTCCCAAGTCTGCATGCAGCCCTCACAAACAAAACAGAAAACTGTAGTCTCTGTGTTTTTAGGAGCAAAGGAACTTCTTTCTTCTTAGCCCAATAGCATGATTGTTGCCTTACGTCTGAATCTCAGTTTCCTCAATTTCAGCCATTTGCCAGTGCATGAAACACCATGGAAGTACCACTGAATCCCTACTACATGATCATAGAAGGTTTTACAGATGGCATGATCTCTTTGCCCAAGAAGAGCTCAACACAGTTGACTCAACAGAGGATCCTAATGCCCCACTAAATGTCTGAAAGTATCTGCACGGGGCTGACACACATCAGGCTTGGAAGATTATTATTGGTAATAATTGAAACTGATTTTCCCCAAGCTGAGTCTGTTCTGCCCATGACAGTAATTGCTGAGTGATCCCTCCCTGTCCTTTTCTTTACCCAGGAGCCTTTTTTTATATTTTCTCTCCCCTCTCCTGCTGAGGAGGGGGAGTGATAGGGCAGCTTTGTTGGGCACCTGACCTCCAGCCAGGATAAACCCACCACAAGCACCAAGACCTAAGGAAAAAGCTACACCATAAAAACATACTATAAACCCCCTTATACTTGAAGGACCTTTGCATCTTCAAAGGAAACAAGTGACATATTTGCATTGTAAGTTAATGTTCCAACTACTATACCATATGAGATCATTCAGTCTCAGTTCATAAAGAGCTGCAGGAGCCTACATCACACTTCGCATATTTTTGAAGTGCAGAATAAGTTACTCTGCACATACACTTTTGGTCTGAGCCTCCCTCAACTGATGTACAATATGCATACACACATAGGAGGACACTGGCAACAGCCAAGACAAGAAGCACAAGAATGAAGGCAGACAACATTTTAGCTCCTTATGCACTTACTTAATGATGGTTAGGTTTACTTGACTGTCATGTCACTTATGCAAGTTGCAGACTATCAATTTTTTAAAAGTAGCTGCAAGTAAAATCCGAAGTCACAGAAGCTCTCATCCACTGCACAGGAGTTACCTTATTCACAGCAAGTTACTGTGTTGAAATAATCAGGAGTAATAACTAATGTTCTCTATTCAGGGATGATTTTGCACGGTTTCTTTCTTTCATTTCAGCCACACCAACCAGGTATGTGTATCTAGCTAGCTATCTATATTTTTTACACACACACATATGTAATTCTACACACCTCTCTCCATATATGCTTGCACATATATACACACATACACTTATGTATATTTAAACACATGTACAACATGGAAATGGAAATAGGATCAAGGACCACTACAATCGCCTTTAAACCCCTTCTGCACATTTGCATGTTTGTGTGTCTTAACTTCAGCACAGAACAAATCTCTTCATGGAAAATCATGTGTTATGAACACTGCCCAAGAAATCATGGCCATCCTGCTACCTTCTTTAAGGCAAACAAAAAAATCAGGTTTATTTGTTATTAAAATATAATTTTGCCATTGAACCTTTCATTTCTGAAGTCCTGGTTCAGCTTCACATAGTTGCTGCAAGGTAGTAATACTCTACACACTTTATGAATGGCTAATGTGATAAAAGAAGAGTCTGAACAAAAAAGGCAACAAAACCAAAATCTGAACTCAGGGCACCCAGTTCTCTGCCTTCTGCTAGCCAGTGAGCTCTTAGTGCTGCTTCAGTTGATATGTATGTTCTTGCCAGGGTCTCTGTGCAGGCTTTCCTTGACAGCATACTTTTTTTTCAAGGGAGTCTAGACAGGAGCAAAGGCTATTAAAAGTAAAATAGGTTTGCAGTTTCAAACCTATCAACCAATTATAGTGGTCCGATTTTGAAAAACTTGTTTTGAAACTTGTAAAAGGGGCCTGATCATCACACATGAAAAGGACCTGCAATCTAAAACTTCTGCTACATTTTTTCCAAAATCTAAGTATCTGAGCTCTCCAGATAGTAAACCCAATTATTCCTTCAATACTCATGGCTTTTTACACCCTGAGCAGATCAAAACATTTTACACCTATTGCAGGGACATATGACTTCTTGCTGATGGTCTGGAGCTGCCCAGAAGCTCACCTGTCTGGTATTCCTCTTGGTATACCTGTAGATGGGTAAGACTGAAATTTGGGTCAACTGCATGAAATCTCTTTGCACCCCTGGCTATCCATTGATAACAGCAGCTTCTGTACACAGCAGTTCTTAAGAGATGCAATTTGCAGTACAGTCCTGTGCAACAGCCAGGCAAAGCTCCAATTCCTTTTTCACGTAGATGGTGACTCAGATCACTTGCATAGGGCAACGTTTTATCAATAACACTAAGAGATCAGAATCAGTCCAACCCTGAAAGCGTTAAGGTTTTATTAATTATTGGGGAGGTGCTGGAAGCTTATGTTTCTTTTCAAACAGATTACCATTCAAACATCTCTATTGCAGCTCGCTTTGCTTTTTTTCCTCCAGGGTTGCCTCTTTATTTTCATGGGAGGAAAAATAATGTGTTAAGTTCTTTACATACAGTTCAGTGCCTGCCTATTGTGAGCACAGCCAAATCCCATGGTGACTGGATGCCTACAGCCCAATTTACTGCACTCCTCCTTTCAATAAGCAAGCAAGGCAAGGAATGGAACAACTTTGCTTATCTACTGCTTGCTCTTCGGTTGCAGCAATGGGTGGGGAGGCAGCACCATCTCTCACCCTGTGCAGACATTTTTCAGCTGCATGCCCTGAAATTTAAATTTTGAGATGTTTATAAATAAATAAAAGCCTGCCTGTATTTAATGCAGTGTGATATTTGCATAATTGCTTTTCAAGGTAGTGAGTGTAAGAGAAGCAAAACCAGGGAAGGTTAAATATCTTTAGAGCAGCCTTTGCCAGCAAATAAACACAGAACTCTTGCAAGTATCAAATTGCAGAGCAGCTTAGAACCAGCATAATTTATTTAGGGAACAATAAGCATCTATTTGTTCTGGACAGGTGGCCCAGGTGAACAAATGAAAGATGAGCCACCGTTTCATTTCACCATCATACGTCTCTTGGAATATCTGTAACCAACGCTGCTGGCACAAACTGCCTCCTCCAAAGCCAAGCAAACACCTGGGCTGAAGCCAACAATGACAGCTTGTAAGAAAATGTTCTGAGATGGTGACCACCCACTTCGTTATCAAGTGAAATTAAGACCAACATCAGTCTAACATACAGAGATCGAGTCAGTGGCATCTCTGTGCCTGGATGGATTGTAAATTGGGTGGCAGACAGGAGATAGGTTGGAGATTCAGCTGGCTAACCTGTATTGACACAAATCAACCAACCCACCCACCCTGCACAGCAAACTCCAGAGATACACAGGCATCAGCTATTAGGCCTAGATATTACAACGTTTTATCCTCCACATGCTGCGTAATTCACCAGGAAGTAATTAGGGTCAATATTATTCAAAGGTCTGCGATGTATTCTTCAAGAATAGAAGACCATTATACAGAACCTTGAAGAACATTGGTCCTCCTGTAAGACATTGGTTTTACACAAGAGGTAATGGT